GGGGGCTGCGGATTTAGCTCAGCGGCACAGTGCCTGACTGGCAAGTGCAAGGTCGTGAGTTCGATTCCTGATACCGGAAAAAAAACAAAAGAAAAATACACTTTTTACATTAGGATCCAATATGCCGCATGCATACACCTATTTATGTAAAAAAAGGTTTTACAAAACAGTGCTTACTCTTCCCATATGGGCTACGTCATTCTCTTCTATCCTCTTTCATTAAAAAGTAATAGTTCTAAACCCCCCCAATGACCTTACCATCTATTAAGAGCTTACAACCTGCCGTTTTAGCCCTTTCAGTGTATTTATTAAATGAAAAGAGAAACGTTCTTATATTCTGTGCTGTTTCTGGATAGTTTGCAAGTAACAATTTAGTAACCATGACGAAGTCCCAGTGGGGTGGAAATTCTTCTTCTTCCCGTTTTCCACGTGACAAAACCGAGGTGTGGAGCGGCTAAGCCAATGTTTCAGGTCGGAAGCAGCATGCAGGAGGGTTGTACTTTAAACCCAGGAAGTCTGGCTGCCGCTGTGCCGCTCCTCAGCCCGGGGTCGTTCCTCGGCCTTAGCAGCTGATGTGACTCTAGCCAAGAATTAAGAATCGGGGCTGGGGATTTAGCTCAGCGGCACAGCGCCTGCCTGGCAAGGGCGAGGTCGTGAGTTCGATTCCCGGTACTGGGGAAAAAAAAAAAAAAGAAGAATCGTACAGTTCTACATCTCCTCACCTAGGGCTTCAAACCACAGCGGGTTCTATTACGACAAGGGTCCCTTGCTCTTCGCTTTCCTTGGCAGTCAAAGCAGCTGCATAGACTCCCCAAACTTAATAATCCCCCCCAGAAGCCCAGCCTGCACCCCTCCACCCCCGCATGTTCAGCCTCCACTGTCAGAGATGGACCTTTAACACCGTGAGGAAGTACTCAACTTCCCCGTTGCTCACTGATTTTCCCCGAAGTTATGCAGTCCGAAAGCCTAATTACTGGTGTATCCGTGGGGACGTCAGAACTGTAAGTCCCGTTGGCTGATGCGTGGCGTACGTCGGGGGGTTCAGCTAACTCGCCTATCTGTCTGCACCGTTAACGGGGAGGGTTGCGTGCCCATTACCGGGGCTCCCACAGCCCCTCCGGACACAATGCAGGCAGTGTGCGCAGCCTGGTCGCCGCCTTCCCGCCCACATGAGAAGCAGCTGGGCCGGAGGAGCCCCCTGAGATGCAGGAAGGGGTCCGGGAGAGGTCGCAACCAGTACCCGCGGGCACCTCCGACCTGCATTCTCCTGAAAACCGCCTACTGGGTGTGCAACTCGCTTCTGCGCTTC